TCAGGAGAAGAATCCTGCACACAGTCTCGTTACACACCCAGCTTTTATGGGCTGCAGAGTCACAGGCAGCAAGCCCAGGTGGGAGGTGCAGCCACGTGGTTCCAAGGCCGTTTAGCTCTCTCATGGCCAGCTCTGCATGGACCACTCAGCCACATCCTCCAGAGGCTGCAAGGCCCCGGGGTCTGTCCAAGGGGGCCAGGGAGAAGCGATGAATCTTCCCAGCTGAGAGAATAAGAAAACACTTGAGAATAGTCAGCATCTCCTCATGTGATGGCCAACACTGACTGTCAACTGGACAGCATCTAGAATCTCTCAGGAGGCCAACATTTAGGTATTCCTGTGAGCTAGTGTCTAAGTGTGCTAATAGAAGTGGGAAGACTCACCCTAAATGTGAACAACCACTTGATGGGACAGGATCATCCTGGGCTGCGTAAAAAAGAGAAAGTGAGGGCTAGAGAGATGGCTCAGTGGTTAAGAGCACTAGTTGTTCTACCAGAGGTCCTGAGTTCAATTCCTAGTAACCACATGATGGCTCACAACCATCCATAATGAGATCTGGTGCCCTCTTCTGGCCTGCAGGGATACATAAGGCAGGATACTATACATAATAAATAAATAAATATTTTTTAAAAAAAGAGAGAGAGAGAAAGTGAGCTAAGCACCAGCATCCCCCTTCCTTCCCCTCCCTCCCTCTCCCCTTCCTTCCTCCCCACATACAAAGACACAATGTGACCAGCTGCCTCCTACTCCCACTGCCTACTCTAATGAGCTGTACCCTCAAACTGTGAGACAAATGGACCCTTCCTCCCTTAAGCTATGTTTGTCACAACAATGACAAAAGTAGCTAATCCACTCCCTAATCACCCTGAGACCTTGAACACATCACTTAGCCTTGAAGATTCCCAAGTTGCCATCTACAAAGTGATAATAATCATTTAATTAATTACCTTATTTTTAATTTTTTTTACTAGATTCATTCATTTTATTTTATGTGTTTTGCCTGCGTGTATGTATGTGTACCGTGTGTATACATGGTGCCTATAGAGGTCAGAAGTGGGAATAGATCCCCTGGAACTGGAGTTAGAGATGGTTGTGAACCACCATGTGGGTGCGTAGAACTGAGCCTGGGTCCTTTGCAAGAATAGTCAGTGTTTTTAACCACTGAGCCGTCCTTCTAGCTTTTAAGCCTGAGCGCATACCTCATAGTGAACAATAACTACCTTCAGAGCACTGGATAAAATAAGGTTTTCTAAGTGTAGTCCCTGGAATAGCAAGCCCTACCTGAGAGAAATGAGAACTCCCTAACCCTACCCCAAATTTCCAATCAAAGAGCCATGGCTTTTCTAAGACACCACTGCAGACCAAGCCACCAGGATAACACATACACGGAGCTTAGCCTGGGGACTGGTACATCATCGTCTAGATTACATCAGGAAAGATGAGAAGGGAAAGGGTATCCCTGGCAGAGGGAGCAGAATGGAGCTGAAAGGACAGGTCACATGGGGAGACCTACTTACAAGAGGCTGGGATGGCTACAGATCACGTCTTATGCCAAGTTCAGACTTTTATGTCATAGACAAAAACATGTTCATTTGTTTTATGTTTTAGAAAGTTTACCCCCAGTTGCTTTTTCCTTGGGAGTTAAAACAGGGCCATGTCTGTGAGTTTTATCCATGTAAGCCCCACCAACAGGTGCCTAGAGCCCACACAGCCGGAAAGCTCCCACGTGGTGGTCCTGACCAAATTCCGTCTTGGTCAGCATTAAAATTTTAATAAAAGCTGGCCTAGAACTTATTATGTAGCTGAATGGAACTCACAACCCTTCTGCCTCAACTCTCAAGTGCTGGGATTCAGATATATACCACCACATCTGGCAGATTACAATTTTAAATCAAGAGACTAAAACCTAAAGAGGGGAGTTAGTTCCCTTGTATAAGGTCACACAGTGACAGAGTTGCAGAAGTAGGGATTGGAAACCAGGTCCCTGTACTCTCAGATTGTGGAGGGCACTTGTCCAGCACAGCCCATCCTGCAGGGAGAACGGGGAGGCTGAGGCAGCCAAGATATGTGTTTCTAACATCGGTGTCTTTCCCCAATGCCAGAATTTATTGAATAGCAATAAATCCACACACTATGCCCATTTCGTTGGATGCAATTTATCAGGCAGTCCTGATTTGATAATTGGCTCTTGGCATTAGGTTCTTTTATTCCAGTCTTGAGTATTAATATTATACTTCACACAGTTTTATACAGGTACCTCTCTCTCTTTTGTGTGTGTGTGTGTTTGTGTGTGTATTACAGAAAGTTACATGGGGTTAAAGCAGCCACAGAGTTAAGGGATATTAGTGGAGGTAGAGGGCAAATAGGTCCAGAGAAGTCACTGCCAGTGGTTAGACAACACACTAACAACATGAGTGGAGAGCCACTGGATTCTCAGAGCCCAGACACAGGGCTGAACTGTGAGCCAGGGAGGTAGACAAGACTAGTCTGGCCAGGTGAGTAGATGGATGAATAGTAATTCAGTCAGGCCATGTCAAGTGGTGGAGATTCTACTGAGCTAAAATTGGGAGCTATGTTGCTCTCTACACCACACACACACACACACACACACACACACACACACACACACAGAGAGAGAGAGAGAGAGAGAGAGAGAGCAGGTGATCACATGACAGGCCTGTGGGGACGTTGCCATGGCTGCATCACTTGTCCTTTTTATGGGGTCCAGCTAAGGGTGCTGTGCCCTCTACTAATCTGGTGTTCTGTATGTTTTTATGCTACAGTCCCCATATAGCAGTGATCCTATATGCTCCCAGTCCGATTTGATAAGCTAATAGAGGGTGCTTTTCCCCTTATAGGGCTAAATTATCTATTGGTCTCTGCCTTGTAGGTGGCAGTGTCTACATGTCACTCTGCAGGTGCAGTCAAAATGAAGCCAACTGCTACTTTGTAAAATGGGGTCATCCAAGGCAAGGCACAACCTGAAAGCCACTGTTCTAATGAAACTTGGAGCCAAGCAGAGTCTCATCTCCAGGCTGCGGAAGGGAGTCAGACCAGAGGGAGTTTGTTACTACGGGGGTTGAGCCAGCCTACCTTGTTAAGTGGATCTGTTCCAAGTCAGGCACTTGGAGCCCCTCAACCATGACCAGGAGCCCCACCCACAGGTACAGTATGGCCCCCCACAGCCCCCCCACACATACCTGAACCCCTCAAGAGTTGAAGGAGCTCCCCACTCACAGAACTTGAGTCCAGGCCTTGCAATCAGCTTCTTTCTCCTTTGCCAAGATCAGTCCGTGTCTGCCTGCTCCCACATTCCCCCAAAGGTTTAAATTAATAACTGATGGATAGATAGGGCCAGTGAGATGGCTCAGTAGGTAAAGGCACTTGCTGCCAAGCCTGAGTTCAGTCCTCAAAACCCACATGGTTAGAGAGAATCAACTCTTACAAGTTGTCCTTTGATATCTACACAGGCGCCATAGCAAGCTCTCCCTGTATGCCCCCCAATAAATAAATGGGTTTTTAAATTATTTTTTAAAGGAGACAGTAACCTAAAAGACAGACACTTTAGTTCCTGCTCATGGTGAGCAAGTGGATGATGAGTGAGTTAATATCAGAATCAGACATTCTCAACTCTTCATTACAGAGGACATAGGCTTTCTCTTCCTCCAAGGCCCCTTTCCAAAATCAATCCTCCACCCAGAGCTTTCTCGGAGTGTATTCTGTGAATTATCTGCATCAGTTATCACTTGGGCATTTGTTTAAAATGCAGACTCCAGATCCCTAAGCCCAGTCTGCGGATCACCTCCCTTGGAACCTGGGACTTTGAACACAGACCAAGTTCCCCCAGAGGCTTCCGTCCATGGCTGAAGAAGTTGGTGTACCCGGTAGGTGGAGGAAACAAAGGTGGACACAGAGGGACATTCAGACCTAGGAATAAACTCCCTCTCCAGCACCCCATTCCTACACGGCTACCCCAAAGGGGAGGACTGGAGGCGGAGGTCTGCAGGGCGGGGACCCGGGCTGCCTTGACAGGGCGGGGCCGCACGGGGCGGGGTGGCTCTGGACCGGGCGGGACCGGCCCGAGGGGCTGTGTACCGAGGCTGGGGGATAGCGCATTACCTAGCAGCTGGAGCAGCGGGGACACGGAGCCTCCGCGCGCGCGACTAGGTAAACTTGCCTGTCCGGGCGGAGTTCTCAGGTCGCCTGCATGCAGGGTGGCCCAAGGACTGGGAGCCTCGAACCCGCGTCCCGGAGGGTTCGGGGTGGCAGATCTGGGGCCTCCGAGGGTGGGGGAACCTAGCACAAGGGACACCGCCACCACACCCAAGCACCCAAGGGCTTGGGACTCACATCCAGGACCGCGAGTTGGGAAAGTTCCAGCCCAGACTCCCTGAAAGGACACTTGAGTCCCGAGCCGATAGGCCCCTCTGATGCACCCTGTTCTGTCACCAGACCAGTTGTTGGGTTCCTCGCAGCTTCTGCCCCCCAACAAAAGCTGGAGGCCATGGCGCCAGCGGCTCCTGAATTTTTCACTCAGGAGCAGGGCCGGGCACGCCGTTCCCATGGCACCAGGGCACTCGGGTTACAGCCAGAGAGATCCCCAGAGCCCCCTCGCCTTTGTGGAGCACCAAAGCGCTCTCCCTTCCTCTTCAAATTCTGCCGGGGGCGGGGGGAGTATCAGGCAGGCGGAATAAACTTTCCCAGAGGCCTCAACCCTCCACAGCACCCCCCCAACCCTGAACAAGTGAAGCAGACCAGTGGAGAAAGGGGGATGGGGCGGTCCGATGCTTTCTGTAGGGAGGGTCTCAAATCCTGAAGGGGAGGGACGGATCCGGGAAGGCAGCATGTGCTGTCTGTTGATGCTTTAGATGCCCCGGCCTGCTGTGCCTCTGTATGTCTGTGTCATGGGGAAAGGGTCATCATCAGAATTTGGGAATCTGCTTCTGGGTGTGTGCATCTGTGTGTGTTCACAGCCTGTGCCCTCGCCTCTTCTAGGTGGACCCCAGTGGACTGAAACCAGGTCTGAAACCAGCAACACCCAACACCAAGAAGCTGAAGAGCCTCCCCACAATTGAACCAGAGAGGACCTGGAGGGAGTCATTTCCACAGTTTATCAGCGAAGAAGGGACTCGGCCACGGACTTACTGTCCAGCCCCCTTGTTTTTGGAAGGAAGGAAGGAAGGAAAGAAGGAAGAAGCCAGGGAAGAGAGAGATCTCCCCACTGAGGATGACACTTAACACCCAACAGGAAGCGAAGACCACCCTCCGCCGTCGAGCCAGCACTCCACTACCCCTGTCATCCCGTGGCCACCAGCCTGGCCGCCTGTGCACAGCACCCCCTACTCAGTCCCATCATCCCCGGTTGGGTCAGTCAGCCTCTCTCAACCCTCCCATTCGAAAGCCCTCTCCAGCCCAGGATGGGTGGTCCTCTGAATCCAGCGACTCTGAAGGCTCCTGGGAGGCCCTCTACCGGGTGGTGCTGCTTGGAGACCCTGGCGTTGGGAAGACCAGTCTGGCCAGCCTCTTTGCAGGGAAGCAAGAGCGGGACCTTCATGAACAGCTGGGAGGTAGGAGCTCTGACTGTCACCAGGGGCACAGGATTGCAGAGAAGAGGTGTGCAGGTCACACACCACCATCCAACTTATAGGGGCAGTCACTCAAGTAAGTGATGCTCATCTGGCAATGCAGGACACAACCTGGACAAGGCCTAGAGGAGGGAAATTAGGTGAAAGGTATATTATTTATGTCCATGTCATAAGGAGAGAAAATCTGAAATTATGGGTGTCAAGAAATGACAGGCTTCCACCCAGCTCAGAAACTCCCAGCTCCAAGTCCTCCTGATCTCAACTCCCCTCCCCTCCCCACCATCCCTCAGCCACCAAGACCCACAACAAAACTAACATTCTTCCTAAATGGAGGCTTTCAGACTCCCAGTTCTGAGCGTTGGATTGCTTTACTCCCCCAAAATGCATTGAACACACGGGTCAGGAGCTGCAGGACCATAGGCCCAGGACAATTAGATACAGGAGTAAGGCAGATGACAGGAAGATAGGCCTCTGCAGGGCAGGCTTTGAGGACATGAGGTGTGTAAGGAAGGTGGGGACCATCTGGACAGGCCCCCTCTCCAGTGTTGACTTTCCTGGAAGTAATGTGCACATGTGTGTATTACAGATAACATGATCTGCCTAAACTAGAGTCAGAGCAGACTGGAGAGGATGCCCAGGTTAACCGCATTCATTCAACTGACAAGACCCAGCTTCTTGAGCTTGCCTGCCACGTGCCAAGTACTATGCTCACAGTGGGGATGTATGGCCACCTAAGAAGGGCTTTTGAGCACCAGGAAAGACAGGGTTCCCTACCTCAAGGACATGTGAAGTGATGACATAAAAGGGAAGTGAGGGACTGCTGTGTCTCCAATGGCCTGCTCTACCCTGAGATTCTACTCCCCTACTTGATTGCAGATGTGTACGAGAGAACACTATCGGTAGATGGAGAGGACACCACACTGGTTGTCATGGACACCTGGGAGGCTGAGAAACTGGTATGACACTGTAAGCTTGCTTAGGGTGAGGGATGCTGAAACTAATATTAGATGCCTGTCTCCTCCTGGAGCACATAGAGCAGGGCTTAGGGCAGGAGCCTGCCTCAGTGTACCTTTTCCTAAGGGAGCAGAACCTCATAACCTTGACCTTTTTCCTCACTCCACCAATTCCCCTCCCAGAAGACATCCCAGCATGCACTTCTCCCTTTGCATGCCTCCTCATCCTTATGGTCACTCTCACATTTGGCAAAAAAAAAAAAAAAAAAAAAAAAAAAAAGCCACTGGATTTGACCCCTAAATGCCTAAGGGGACACCCACGCACCTTCCTTTTTCTTACCAGTCATGTGGCTTTGTGCAATAATAGACTTACCCTGAATTTCAATCTTCTCATCTGATAAATGGGCCCAGCATTCCTTCCTTATTAGCTGAGGTTTTTTGTTTTTGTTTTTTTTGTTTTTTTTTGTTGTTGTTGTTTTTTTTTTTGTTTTGGTTTGGTTTGGTTTTTTTTGCTACTGCTATTTATTTACAAAGGTTCTGGGGATCGAACCCAGGACCTAGAACCAGCTCTGCATGTATCTTCCCACTGAGCAAGTTCTACCCTAGCCACATCATCAGCTGGTTTTTAAAAACTCTGGTGCAGTTCCGCAGCCGAGGGCAGAGCGTGAATAGAGTGCTAAGCAGAAGTGGAGAACTGTCTGGAGTGATTGTGATATCTAGGGAGGTCGTGAAGAAGGAAACCCTCCCCTTTGCCCTGCCAGAACAGGAAGGTGACAGTTTTCTTGCTTGAGTCTTCTTTCCTCTTGTTACACAGGTAATATATGCTTTTTATATGGCTTTCATTATTAATTGAACGTGGACTGCGGATCTAGCTTAATTAGTAAAGTATCTGTTGACACACTCTGAATTACAAGGCTCTGAGTTCTATCCCCAGCACTGCACAAACTAGAAATGATGGTGCACGACTGTGATCCCAGTAGCTAAAGGCAAAAGGATGCAAAAGTTTAAAGCCATCATTGACTACATGATGAGTTCAAGGCTAGCCTGTCTCAAGAAGGGAGAGAGAGAGAGGTAAAGAAACAGAGAGAGGAAGGGAGGGAGGGGGAGATAGAAATCAAAACATCAGTGGGTATATCTATCCTCTCTCTAAAGGGCTTCAACTGACAAAACCCATAGTCTTGAACCTGCCTGCCATGTGCCAAGTACTATGTTCACAGATTAGGAAACATGGACACCTAATGGGGCTTTTTGCATACCAGAAAAGACAGACATGAAAACATGAAGGAGTGACTAATTGTGTCACCTTTCCCCAAACTTAAGCCCCCTAAAGGAAACTTAGAGTACAGTGTTGGGCCTGGCTTGGTAGCACACCACTTTAATCCCAGGAGGCAGAGCTCTGCAGGTGGACTTTTGTGAGTTTGAGGCCAGCCTGGACTATATAGTGAGTTCCAGGACAGGCAGGGTTGTGTAGAGAGACCCTGTTTCAAAAAACCATGTGTGGGCAGTGTTGAGTGGTCGGCAGCATTGCCCATAGATCAAAGAAGAGAAGAAAGGAGCTATGGGAACAGTTCCTTTTTGTTCTTTTACACAGGGCCTCCCCTGTGCATCTCCATTTTTTAGATTTTTTTTATTGCATGATTTTTTTATTTTGTGTGGGAGGGTAAAACACATGCAGAAGTCAGAAGATAATCTGCTGAAATCAGTTCTCTCCTCCTACCTTATGGGTCCAGGGACTGAACTTGGACCATCAGGCTTGGCAGCAGGCACCTTTATCTACTGAACCATCTCATCAGCCCTGGCATCAAATTCTTGATCTTCCTGCTTTGGCCTCTCCAGTGCTGCAATTACAGGCATACATCACCATGTCTGGTTTGGCCAATATCTTTCAACAAATATAAAAGGAAGTCTGGGTGGGGATGAGCTTAACGGTGTTCTTAAAACAGCGACCACCGGGGTTTATGGAGCACATGCTTCTGCCCCTAACACTGGAAAGCCCTGACACACGCTGTGACATGCAGTTAAAGCTATACATACAGTTGGTCTTCTACTTCCCTTTCTGTCAACAAGGAAACAGGTGTTCAGGGGACTTAATGTGTCCGAAGTTGTCAGGGAGCAGGCAAACTCATGCCCAGATCTACTAGCTCCACAGCTTATGCCTGGACTGTGTCCCCACCCCATCTGCCCTGGAAGCATCACTTTCTGAACCTTCGGCTTAAGTTACACTTCTTCACTCGCTCGTTCATTGGAAACGCTTGTTAGATGTCTATAGTGGGCTGAAGACCCTGGACTCTAGGGCCATGTGGGGACAAACTGCTTTCTGAATGTAGGGGGATACTGTGGGGTAGTCAGTGAGTTGGGCAGACCAATCGGAAGCCAGGCACGGGGCCTGCAAGGTGGCAAAGGTGGGCACAGGTGCCTGCCACCAGGCCTGACAACCATAGATCACCCCCACACAGTGGGAGGAGAGAATCCACTCCTGAAAGCTGTCCTCTGGCCTCACCACTCGCACCAGGTTTTGGGGTTTTTTTTTATATTTTTTTGTAATGTTGTTTCTGAGAACCAAATTCAGTCAAACTTAGGTCCTCATTGTGTTCAGCAGCGAGCACTTCACCCAGTGCCCTGACCTCTAGGCCCTGAGAGTCTGCATCTGTCTGACTCTACCCCCAAGGCTATTCGGCCTGAGAAATGATGGGTACAGCTGCTGAGTGTGCACACCCACCGCTCCCAGGGGCCTGACACTTCTCTGTTCACCTGTCTCTGCTTTCCAGCATCTTCCTCCCTTACAGTTCATCCCACTCAGCCTTTCCCACCCTAGCCTCTAAGACTGACTCGTCCCTTCCTCTGGACTGCCTGTGTGCCTGCCTGCTGGGCTTGCTCCTTTCAAACCCTGCCTACTGGATCCCGCCCAAACCGTTCAGCTTTACCTCACACCTCACACCACCTCTCCGTCCTCCGCCACTTTTGTAGCCCCTCCTGACGGCCCTCCCCACCCTGCACCGCACCTCCCCTTCCCACAGCCCACCTTCCAGATCATGTGCCTTGAGTAAAGGAACTAGATCTCATTAAAGGCTTGAAATCTACACTCTGGGAGCTCTGTCTCTGCTATTCTGGTTTTCCTTTCCTTGGTCAAATGACTAGAAAGAGCTCTGCTTCCTAAGTGTCCCTTTCCATCCCTTTCTGTCCTCACACTCCATACATTCCATGGGTGACCTTTCAACTCTCTCTCTAAAACTCCTGAGAAAGGCCTCCCTCCTGAATCCAGCCTTCTGTTCTCCTTTCTCTCTCTCTCTCTCTCTCTCTCTCTCCACACACTTTATCTTTTTTTTTTTTTTTTTACCAGTTTTGTGAGTGTGTATGCTGTATTGTGTGGTGATGTGTATGTGTGTATCAGTGCTGGGACACACTTTCCATGTGCAGGTGTGGAGGTCAGAGGACCACTTTTGGAGTTGGTTCTCTCCTCCCACTGTGGGATGCAGGAATCATACTCAGGCTTTCAGTGCAAGCACTGTTACCCACTGAGCCTTCTCTATACCCCTCTCTTCCTTTTTTCTTTTAATTCTGCACTGCAGAAACACTAAAGAACTGTGTCCCAACACCAAACTCTCCTCACAAATTAGATAGAGCTGAATGAGCACTCCAAGAACTGAGGCAGGAGAATTGCTTCAAAACCAAAACTACTCTGGGCTACAGTGTGAGACTTTGTCAAAAACCAGAACAGGAGAATGCAGAGGGGAGGAGGAGGCTGAACAGGCAAAGGTAGATCCTTCTTTTCAGGAGATGGTCCACTCGATTCCGAACTCTAATCCCCAGCATGAAGCAGTCAAGGGGAGAGGGAAGAAAGCAAGGTGCTGTACATCAGATTTCCGAGGGGGGGGGGAAACTGAGGCTCAGACAATTAGTGGTTTTCCCAAGGTGACACGCAGCTATGATAGAAATTTGTTCCCCAAAGCTATCCAGAATAGAACCTCTCTCTACCTACTCCGCCTTTTAGACCAACAAAGCCTCTTTGTCAGCCAGGGCTAGGCACCCTCTGAGGATGGGCCTGGGATCCCTCCCCTGCAGGATGAAAGCTGGAGCCAGGAGTCGTGCCTGCAGGAGGGCAGTGCCTACATCATCGTGTACTCCATCGCAGATCGCAGCAGCTTCGAGAGCGCTTCAGAGCTCCGGATCCAGCTGAGGCGCACACATCGGGCTGACCACGTGCCCATCATCCTGGTGGGCAACAAGGCAGACCTGGCCCGCTGCCGGGAAGTCTCCGTAGAAGGTGAGCTCTCTGCCTTCCTCTCCTCTCTCCTTTAGGCTTACTGCCTCTCCTCCAGTGCTCATATCAGATAAGGTCTGCGCCCTCCAACCTGACGCACTCCTTCAACTACCTACCTGGTCTCATCCTCTCTCACCTAACAAATCGGTACCCAAGTCCTATAGGCCTCTCACTCCACACCCCAAACCTCTCTTATTTCCTACCACCCCCCCCCCACCACTCTGTCCCAGCCAGTCTCTATATTTCTCTAGCCCTACTGAATCGTTCTTCCTGGACAGCTGACAGAAACTTCCAGAACCACGGCTTACCTTGTGACTTTTGCTTAAAATTTCCTCTGAAGCTCCCCCCAAGCTGATAATCAGAGACACTCTTCCCACACCCCATGTCTACCAGCTTGGCTCCTGTATAAACTGGGGAGATTATAAATTCAAGTTTTGGATGAAACACTTGTGTATTGGCAAGTAATGACAAACCAAAACTTTTAAAGGTATTTGCAGTGGAAGAGGAAGAGTTTAATTTCTTTCTTTTTTTTTTTTTTTTTTTTTTTTTTTTTGAGACAAGGTTTCTCTCTATATCTCTGGCTGTCCTGGCACTCACTCTGTAGACCAGGCTGGACTCGTACTCAGATCTGCCTGGCTCAGCCTCCCGAGTGCTGGGATTAAAGGCGTGCGCCACCACCTCCCAGTGTAAATTTCATCTTTCTAGTGAGGCAAGATCTTAAACCGGCCCCTACTCATGAGATCGAATCTTCCCAGCGTCGTTCTACTGAGTATCAGTCAGTCCCTAGACTGAGCTGATGATGTCCACTTGATTTGCCCCTGGGTCCTGACACCTGAACGACTTAAGTAGGACCTGGAAAATAGCTCGCACACCTTTAATCCCAGCACTAGGGAGGCAGAGGATCTCTGTGAGTTCAAGGCTAGCCTGGTCTAAAGAGCAAGTTCTAGGACGGCCAAGGCCACACAAAGAAACCCTGGTGGGGGGGGGGGCGGGAGCTTCCTGAAAATCTGAACACACCTCTTCTTCCCCCACCCCCACCCCTCACCCCCACCCTTATCTCTGCCTTCTGTCTTTGGCTCTGCCCACCTCAGAGGGCCGTGCCTGTGCAGTGGTATTCGACTGCAAGTTCATCGAGACTTCAGCTACTCTGCAGCACAATGTGATGGAGCTTTTTGAGGGCGTGGTGCGCCAACTGCGCCTGCGCCGCCGAGACAGCATGGCCTCGGAGGAGGCACCATCACCACGACGACGAGCCAGCCTGGGCCAGCGCGCCCGCCGCTTCCTGGCACGCCTGACAGCACGCAGCACACAACGCCGGGCACTCAAGGCCCGCTCCAAATCCTGCCACAACCTGGCTGTGCTCTGAGGCCAGCACCTCTCTGGGGTGATGAGACATTTGTGATGCCACTGAGGGCTAGAGGTGTGTCGCCTGGAGTCTGAGTAGTGGACCTTGCCAGTTGTCAGGATGGCCAGAGTATGTCACCAGGAACCAGGGCTTTGAGGACCCTTCCTCCCTGGGGAAGTGATGGGTGCACTATGGGGCTATAAACCCAAGCTGGGCACAAGTACGGTTTTATTTTGTTTTGTTTTTTACAGGGTGGGTGTCTTTTTGTAAAACTCTTTCTTGTACCTGGGCTGTGACCAATCCTCAGAAGGTACCATAGTAAGCCTGCCCAGGATGTCCTGTCTGATGCATGGACCTCTTCCCTGGGCCCTTCTAGGCATCTCCACCTCCTCTCTAAACATCTAACTTGACTGTAGACTGGTTTGGCCTGCTGGCCTTGACGTCTTGGACAATCAATAAAGTCAGTGAATTAATTATATGCTCAGGCCCTCCTCCCAACTGCCACATTTAATTTCTACCCCAGGCCCCTGAGACAGACACACTGTGAGTTACATGAACACCACTAAGCTGAGTGACCTGCTATTTGCTCCTTAACTCATTCTTTAGTTTCTAGAACCACAAAATGCTGTCTCTCGAGAATTCATCCTGGCACTGTAATTGCTTCTGATTGTGTGAGCTGACTGTGCCAAGTTGTCACGCTGTCACACATGCTAAGAAGCTCTAGCTGGAGCTGCATACCCAGCCCCTGTCATTTTTATGTTTGTAAGTGTGATGCCTGCACAATGCCTAAGGGCAGGATGTGACTACTAATCTCTTCTGGTCGCTTAGGAAAGAGGGGTTCAGAGAGGAAAGGCAGGAACCCAGAAACACACAGCTGCTTTAAGTGAGGCATCAATATCCCAGGTCCTACAAGCCCCCTGTCACAGTCCTCTTTAGGAGGGGGTAAGGCGAATAGCTCAATCGATAAAGAGCTAAGATGAGGCTGGGCAGTGGTGGTGCACACCTTTAATTCCAGCACTTGGCGGGCAAAGGTAGACAGATCTCTGTGAGTTCAGGGCCAGCCTACAGAGTGAGTTCCAGGACAGCTAGGGCTGTTATACAGAGAAATTCTGTCTTGGAAAACCAAGAGAAAAAAAAAAAAGAGCTGAGATGAGGTCCTGAGTTCCATGCCAAAACTCAGGAAAAAAGAGTCACCCTGGTGCTACCGTCCTGTAACCCCAGCACCTAGGAGTCAGAGAGAAACTAGTGGATCCCTGGAACTCAGGCCAGCCAGCCAGCCAGCCTTATTTGGTGAGCCTGGGGCCAGTCAGAGGCTTTGTCTCTGAAAACGAGGTGGGCAGATAACCTCTGACCTATACACACTCATAAGAGTGATGGGAACTACAGATGGGATTGAGGGCTCCAGCTTCTTGGCACAGTGATGTCAGTGATTTGAACCTAGCACTGCAAAAGAGAAAAGAAAAAGAAAGGAAAAGTGTTAAATTCTGTGAAGGAGGTGGGAATAGTGGCACATGCCCATAAACACAGAACTCAGGAGGCTGAGGCAAAAGAATCTAGAATTCAAGGCCAATCTAGCCTTCCAGGGAAAGGAGAGGGAAACTAGGTGTGTACCCATAATCATAACACTCAGGATATGCAGAGGCAGGAGGGTACCCCTGAAACTTCAAAGCCAAACCGGTCTGCAAAGCAAGTTCCAGGCCAGCCAGGTCTATGTAGCCAGGTGCTAGCTCAAAAAAACAATGGGAGCACGTAGATTTTTCTAACACGATTTTGCATATAATTTAAGGGGGCTGGCATGAATTCCATGGAACTCAGTCCATTAATCCCAGGATAGACACTAATTTAGTTCAGTGCATTCATTTTCCAAATGTGGAAAGTGAAGACCCAAGAGGAGCAGAGAGCGCTCCAGGGTCACCAGTCAGTGAGTTCCAGGCCCCCAGCACCCAGCCCCCTCCTGTGGCCTCCCTTGGCCGTGAGGGATGAAGGACGTGGTGAGGCTTCCCACTTGGCTGGGAACCCAGCTGGGTGTAGGGGTCAGGTCAGCAGTTTCCATTTCGGTAGGATGGGGGAGGTGGGGACTGTCATTACTTCCAGAAGAGAACAAGATGCAAACTGTTTGGATCATCCTGTCTCTAACTCCTGACCCCCCTGCCTCCAACCAACTGTCCCCCCATATTCCTGGGCCATGCAAGGGGGTCACCCATGGCCCAGTCCAGAGGATGAGGTGCAGGAAAAATATGCCCTGGGCTGTCTGGTTGCCCCGGGCTTACCAACTCACTGGTCAGCAGTCATGCCCAGGAAGTGGAGGAGGGTCTCCCCACCCGAAGTTGTCTCCGGCCTGCGGTTGAGAATGGGGGTGGGAGGCTGTAGCTGTGGAAAGTTGGCAGGGGCCGCCGGCAGCAGCCGGGAGAGTGGAAAAAATGATATCAAACCCGGAAAAATGCAGGCCGGATGGAGGGCTGGGTGCGAGGGCGGGAGGAGGGCGGGGGAAGACAGCTGCCTGGGTTGAGGACCCAGAGAGAAGGCCCACAGGAGTTTCCCAGCGGGCCTCGAGGACCGTGGACAAGCGCTGTGCTTCCCTTCCTTCTTGCTCCACAGTTATTTATTGAGGCTCTACTATGTGCCAGGCAGACAGCCAAGCCCTTAGGAGACGCTGCTGGCTCCCTGAGCTCACCCTGCTTGGTAGGAAGGTACACTAGAGAAAAACGAAGTGGATAAAGGAGTCAGGAAAAAGCTGCCGTCAAGGAGGACCCCTCAGTTCACCCATGAGGAAAGTGAAGCTCGAAAGAGGACAGGTCTTCCACCAGGCCACTCAGAATGGAAAGGAAGCCAGGGTGGGGAAAGGGTATGTGTGGATAGCTGGGGAGCCTAAAGCCAGGGGTCTACATCCGAACTCTGTTACTTCCCCTTGTTGTGCCTCACTTCCCCCCCACTATAAAATAAGATGGGTGACAATTCTCCACCCCAAACTTGACTCAAGGATGAAGTGTTTTAAGATGCATAAACTGGGTTTGGGGAGATGGCTCAGTGCTATACAGAATCAAGGACCTAAGTTTCAGCCTCAGAACCCATGCAAAAAAAAGAACAGGTCCCATGGCACAGCCTTGTGATCTCAACACTGAGGAGACACACACAGATCCCTGACCTTCACGGGACCGCCATCCTAGCTTATTCTGTGAGCTGTAGATTCCAATGAGAGACCCTGTCTCAAATTTACAAAGTGAGCCAAGGTGGCGCTTGCCTTTAGTCCCAGTGCTTGGGAGACAGAGGCAGATGGATCTTAGTTCGAGGCCAGCCTGGTCTACAGAGTGAGTTTCTGGACAGGCAGAGCTACACAAAGGAACCCTGTTTTGAAAAACAAAACAAAAGAAGTGGATGGATGACAGCTGAGGTTGACCTGTGGCCTCTGCACATGTATGCTACTGCATTTTAAGACCTCGGAGGAAGCTTAAACCATGAGGATTTGCCTGGAAGCTTCTGCCTGGATATGCCACTGGAAAACTTTAGGAAAATTTCTTTTTTCCTTGGGCCTCAGTTTCCCTGTCTTGAAAAGAAGGCAATTGAATCTGAGCATGTATTGCATGTACGTACTCCTGTGTTTAGTTGTCTGTTGTTCCCAGCCCAAGAAATGGAGGCTCACAAGGCAGAAGTTACATGCTGTTCTGTCTCCAGCTCCGGTGTCTGTAACAGTGGCTGGCTTCTACAGGCGCTCAGTGAATGCTGACAGGATTACTCACCAACCTGTAAAATGCCCTTCCAGTCTAGACTGTAGGTGTCCATGAGCAAGGGAAGCAGAGATGCAGAGATAGCGCATAAGAAAACCACAGCGCACAACCCACCTGACTTAGAAAGGTCTTCCTTGCTAACTCTGAAGTCTTTCCCAGGTCAAGGTCCAGCCCTGTGCCTCGGTACCTGCTGATCGCTGCCCCCACCCCCTCCTCAACAGCTACACTTACAGACGAGCATGCTGAAGTTAAGAGAACCTAAGAAATGGGCCCAACACCAGTTCGACTCAGCCACTGTCAAGAGGCATCCCCGAAGGGCTGGAGACACTGCAGAGAGAGGAGAGGGCCCAAGCTCAAGATGGTGTGAGGATAACAGCAAATGCCACTTATGCTGTGTGTGAAGTACTGTCCTGGGTGCTTTCCATAGGACACTTAGGAAGTCCTCAAAACCGCTGATGCGGTCACCGTGCCAGTTTTAAGGTGGAGAAGTTGTAGCACAGAGAAGTTGGTCCCTGGCCTAGGTTGCACAGTTAGCAAATAGCACCAGAAACCAAACTAGTGCAGTGTAGTCCCACAGTGGCGGGGCCTCACCTACGTCCACTGCACCCAGTGCCTATGCTGGGGACAAGGCTCAGAGCAAAAGTGTGTTCAGAGCCCTCAGCCTCCAGCTGGGCCACTGCATCTCAAAAGGAAAGTACTGTTATGGAAAAATATGATAAAGACTGAAAAGATGAATGTCTCCCCAGGGGCCCCAAGGCTCCTCAGAGTCCCCATCTTGCTGTGGAGGAGGGTCATGCACTGTGCTGGCCTGATCCAGAAGAGATGAAGGCCACCTGGCTCCTGAGACAACCCAGCCGCTGTTCAGAATACAGAGGCTCTCTGTTGGTGAAACAGTTGGGTTTCTCGGCCCAAACTGTGAGGCTTCTGCCTGGAGCCTCTCAAAGGGATCAAGTTCCAACCGCGGCTTCCTGTCCTTGGGTGGTGGGAAATACAGGGTCTCACAGGACCCAGCTTGCCCCTGCCTTCACTCAGCAAACATGGCCAAGAGTGTGCTGTGAAGGAAAGCTGAGGCACAGAGGGCATCACTGGCAGGCATGTGCAACTGCCTGGCTCAGAAGGAGAAGGGAAGGGGAGATGTGGGAAGAAACAATTTCGTGTGGCTCCTTCAGAGCAATTAAATGTCCCTAGACTCTGGCCACTCATATGACCTTAGACAAATCAAAATATACAGAAGGGAGAGATTAAGGTGGAATTTGTCACATGGCGGTTTCTGTCTCAAGAACTACTTGAACATTCAAATTTAACAGCTTGGAAAAATATACAAAGTTCCATCTCAATTTGAGCACTGTCCCCTTCAGTTCAGGGTTCAGTTAAAAATAACACTAATGATGGGCTGCAAGCTTTGGGTTCACCAGAGTGTGCGGTTTTCTCCACTTCCATCTGCTCCAAATCGAGGGGCCAGTGGAGAGGGGGCAGAGAGAGAGAGAGACAGAGAGAGAGAGAGAGAGAGAGAGAGAGAGAGATTCCCATGCTTATGCTTCACAGATGAGACCAGTTGGTAGAACTGGAAAACATCACCATTTGGTGCCATCTAGGAAGCTTGATCTCTGTGCACCCCTAGGCCTCCCAGTGATAATTCCAATCTATAATATAAAATGAACTTCAGGATGCTGGTGTAACGGTGGTGTATACCTTTAGGTCCCAGCACTCATGAGGCAGAGGCAGGTGGATCTCTGTAAGTTTGAGGCCGGTC